CTGTGCTGGCTGGGGGATTCTGGGAATTGAAGTCCAATGGACTTAAAGTCGCCAAGGTTGAGAAACACTGGACTAGAAGACCTCCAAGATGCCTTCCAACTCTATGATTCTAGGAAAGCACCCACTTTCCAAATACTAGGGATGCAAAATTACCTGCAGAAATGCCCAGCGAGCTTTCTGATTGGAGAGCAAAACACCGTCTTTCTTCCATCCCAAAGTAAATATTATGACAGGCAACATGGAACAACCTGCTACAAGCCCGCCGCTGCCTGTTCTTAGGTTGACCCAAGTGGACAATTCCTGCTTCCTCAAAGAGAAAACGTGGCCTCCTAAGGAAAGTTACCTTCTCCAACTTCCTGTGCTTTCGTTTTCCAGCCGAGCCCTCTTTATTTTCTGCATCAACTGCTAAGCGAGCCTTAGACGGGATAAGAAACTGTGTGGAGGAGGGGGAAAAAAAAAGGAAAATCAGAGTGTAAGAGAGGCCACTAATTAAGCAGTTTATAGCTAAAAGGCGTTTTGCTTCACCCATAAAACCTGAATCAAAATAACTCCTTGTGTTAGGAGTGCCCAAGTCATATCTTTCTGCCCTCCCTCCCCAAGCCTTAAGCAAAATTCAACCACCCATTATTGCAATTTTAAAAGGAAAAAAAACACAAAACAATGGCAAATCATTCCATAAACTGTATGCAATTCATTAAAATCAATTGTAGGTTTGGGTCCTGTTCCATTCCAGCATTCTTTGAAGGACAGCCCATGGCCCATAAAGGATTTCGTATTGCAGAATAGCACGCAGCACGCCTTTTAAATATTTCAGCAACCCAGAACTAAGGAAAAATTTCCTGGCAGTTAGAACAAGGAATAATAAGTAGAACGAAGAACTTCCTCCAGAAGTTGTGAGTATTCCAACCCTGGAAGTTTTTAAGAAGCGATTGGGAGATTGTCCAAAAATGGATTTCCTGCCTGAGCAGAGGGTTGGACTAGAAGACCTCCAAGGTCCCTTCCAACTCTGCCATTCTGTTGTTTTCCCCCCAAACATGACAGGGCAGCGTCAAGGACTGAACTGGAGCGCTTTCTGCATGTTAATTCTGGAATCTGATAGCAATCGCCGGAATGAAAGCGAATGGTCTGTGGATTCTTTTTTAAGAGGGAATTAAAAAAAAAAACAACCTCCATTCTGAAAACTGCATATCAGAAGATCTAGCATTTTCTCGATTTTCATGGAAGAGAACAAAATTGCCCAACCGCATATTATTCAGCTCCTAAATAAATAAATAAAAACACACATGTGGATCACATCCCAAATTGTATGCTGAGGCTGCAAAACGGTGGATAAGGTTTATAACTTTTCTAATTGACATGACTCAGGAATCCCAGGGCGAGCACCTTAACGTTCACCTATCAAAATAAAGATGGCCTCATTGTTGATGCTCTGAGCTTGTGTGGTTTTTATTTTCCAGACCAAAACAGAGGGCATCAAGGACCCCGACAGATCAAGCCAAGCCTTGCTTTAATAAATGAACGTCAATGTAATAGGCCTAGAGTTTTGGGTTGAGATATCTGCAAAAAAACAACAACGACAAAGCTCAGAAAGCATCCAGGACCTCACAGTTCAACTCTGAGTAATATTCTCTCCTCTATTGGTCTAATCTTTTCCATCTCTGGTTTGGTAACATGTTTTAATTCAAATTTAGCCAGAAAGGCCTATCGTAATCAAGGGTCTTGCAACACTGCAGACACGACTCCCACCTTAATTTTCAAAACTCGCCTTGTGGCCTGGATTCACACACCATGTCCAACCCAGGTTAATCCAATACACCAGACTCTGAAAACACCAAGGACCCTGCAGTCCTTCTCCTCTTCCTCTCTGTAAACCCTCCCCCCCCATCCCTTCCTTCCAGCATTGATGATGTTACCCAGTTGGGTCATTAAAATGCCTGCAAGAAAACCACCAAGCTCAGAGAGCACCAAGGACCTCACAGTCCTCCTCCTCCCTACAAACCCCACTCCCTCTCAAGACTGATGATGTTACCCAGATGGGTCATGAACCATCTGCAAAAAAACCACCAAGCTCTGAGACACAGAGCTACAAATAAATCTCTTCTACGGATTCATACAGCAGACTTCCCATGCAACAATAAAGCAAATAAATAAAAGGCAACACCCCTAAGACTACAGCCAGGTTTCTATTGTTGTTGTTAGTCGCGAAGTCGTGTCTGACCCATCACGACACCATGGCGTTCCTCCAGATCTTCCTGTCCTCTACCATCCTCTGGAGTCTATTTAAGCTCACGCCGACTGCTTCAGTGACTCCATCCAGCCACCTCATTCTCTGCCGTCCCATTCTTTTTTTGCCCTCCATCCTTCCCAGCGTTAGGCTCTTCTCCAGTGAATCCTTCTCACTATTCTATTTATATTACACACACACACACACACACACACACACACACAATCCAAAATCCCCCCTCCACCCATTTTATGTGCATCTAATGCAGTGGTTCCCAACCTTTTTTTTTTTTTGGCCATGCCCCACCTAAGCATCTATAAAATCCTGATGCCCCCCCCCCGCCCACACACACATAATATTTACTTTACTCAAAAAGTGAACTGTAACTCAGTTTTAGAAAGCCTAAAAGGCCATGAAGTTAAACCAAGTGGGTTTAAACAAGTTTCAAATTTCCCCCATTAAAAATCAAATTGTCCCCCTGTGGCCCCCACTTTGGGAACCTCTGGTCTAGTGGAACTCCAAGTGATAAAGCAGGAGGGCAAGCAAAAGCTTCAGGAAAGCAGGAAAACCCAGAGAAAATAGGGAAAATGATCCCATTCCAGGGTGCATTATTCCCCCCCCCTCCCTCCAAAGGTCCATGTCCCAACCAGAGCCAATAGAGCTGTGTTTCTCCACCTAGGCGGCTTTCAGATGGGGAGGGACTACAACTCCCAGGATTCCCCAGGCAGCAAAGGCCCCCCTCCTCCCTCCAAAGGTCACCTCCCTCCCATCCATGTCCCACCCAGAGCCAATAGAGCTGTGTTTCTCCATCTGGGCTGCTTTCAGATGGGGGGGGGGGAGGAGACTGCAACTCCCAGAATTCCCCAAGCAGCTTTGCCGCCTGGGGAATTCTGGGAGTTGCAGTCTTCCCCCCCCCCCACATCTGAAAGCAGCCCAGGTGGAGAAACCCTGCAGAGCTGAGCCAAAGCATGAATGAATCCCTCGCTAACCCTTTTTTCTCACGCTGCAGGGGAGGGCGATCCCAGGCCAGGCCGGCTCCACAGCTCCCCATCACCCCCTGCTTGGATCCCCCAAAACGCCTCCAGGCGCTGCCCGGGCTCGCCTCCTCTCCGGCCCCGGCGCGCGCATCACGTGAGTCCAGGGTCCGAGGGGCGTGGTCACGCTCCCTGGAGGGCGGCCGCAAGATGGCGTGGCCTCGCTCGCCCTCCCCTCCGCGAAGGGCGTGGTCACAAGCCCCGCCCACACCGCCGCACGCGAGCTGCGGGCCGTTGCAAAAAACCCCGCCCCCCGCGTCCTCCGCAAGGGGCGTGGCCAAGGCTGTGCGCTCCCTCAAGGGCGGGGCTTCCTCCCCACCAAACCCTCTTACCCGCGAGTCCGGCACTCCCGACGTGGCTTGCCGGCCTCTTATCCGCTGTGGGGAAAAGGGGGGAGGGAGGGGTCGGGAGGTCCCGCGGCGGCGTCACTCCCGCTCCATTGCCTTTCCTGTGGGCTCAGGAGGTCCCGGAAACGGGGGAAGGTGGTGGGGGGAAGGGAAACCGCCGGCCTCTTCGAGCCTCCCACCGTGACCTTTCGCCCGGAAACGGAAGTGGTGTCGGCCTCCTTCGGGATGCTGCGTCATATCGCGAGAAGGACGGGAAAGTGGGTGAGGGGGAGAAGTGAGAGGGAGGGAAATCTTCTAAGTTCTCGCGAGACAGGTAGAGCCAGTGGGGCAGGATATCGCGAGACTTAGGGGGGAAAAGGCGCGGGGTCCCAGTTCGGAGCTTGAGGGGCGGGACCGTTTCATTGAAAATATCAAGGGGGGGGATCTTGGAAGAAGCCATTCAGTAAAATTGGGGAAGGGAATAGCATGGCTGAGAGAAAAGGTTTGGAGGTGCGAGGAAATAAAAACAGGAATGAGAATTACAGAATTTTGTCGCTTTTTTGACTTTTCACGCTCCGTATCTGGCCGTCCCGTAACTTACTCCTGAGAATTGCAAACGGAAAACCTATAAACGTTATTACAGTTTAGTGTAAAAAAAGGAAAATAAAATAACGGTATAAGTCTGCTTTGGACGGAACGATTCCCGAAAGAGGGGAATGGCGGCGTTGGACCACGTTGCCATGGCAGCGGCCGGCGTTGCCAAGGTAACCAGCGGTGTAGAGCCCGGCACCTGAGGCGGAAGAAACCATTTCCTTAAAAAAGAAGGGACGGAAATTGTGCCTCCCAGAAAAGGAAAATAAACCGACCCAGCCAGAAAGCCGTTTCTCTCTTATCCACTACATTTTTTTAAAAATCTTTCCGATGAATGATATTTAATGCGAAAAAATAATGTATTTATATGATTGGTATCGCCCGTATTAAATGAAGGTTAGAATGGGACTAAAACGAAACCGAAATCCCGAAGCGGCGTTGGTGGTATAGTGGTTAGCATAGCTGCCTTCCAAGCAGTTGACCCGGGTTCGATTCCCGGCCAACGCAAAGTTGCTTTTACTATTTATTTACCTATTACAAAACAACTTTGCTTATATTTACTATAAAAAAAATATCTCCGGATTGAAGTCAAGCACCTGATGGAAATGCTCTTGTTGATTCCCTGATTTCCCCTCTCTGCAAGTCCTGGACTCCGTTGTATGCGATCCTGTTCTCCCCCAAGTCCAAATCCCTCTTTATTGGGGCTATAATTTTAATTTTTGTTTCTCTGATTTACACCATGCAAGAGAGAGGCTGACTCGATTAAAGTGACCCATTCATTGAAAAAGGGAGGAAAAAGAAACTTGGAAACCTTTTTAACCCAGTGCAATTCTAAATTGGAACTTCAATGCAAAACAAGAAATACATTAGATAAACAAAAATGTTCCCGCCCGGGATTGAACCGGGGACCTTTCGCGTGTGAGGCGAACGTGATAACCGCTACACTACGGAAACCCTCCTATGAGAAGGCTTTTTATTTTTCCTTCATATTTAATAGTTTGGATATTACTGCAAAAAAAACAAAAAGGATTTTTATTCCTATTTCTGAAATGTTCCTGGGTTCTTTTTCTTTCCTTTTTTTCACTGTGCATCTCTTAAAGCAAAAGTCCTGCTCATAAACTCAGGTTGACTTTAACCCTCCCCTCAATCGGATTCCTGCAGGGATATTTTCCAGGATTTGCTTTCCTGGCCTGTGGATCCCACTGAATGAAATAAAACAAGGGGTGGCCTCAATGTGTAGCCCTTTTCCAGGTACCACAGAATTCCTCAGCCAGAGTGTACTTCAACTCCCAGAATTCTCTGGCCAGGATGGATTTCATCTCCTAGAATTCCTCAGTCAAGGTGGCCTTTGACTCACAGAATTCCCCCCATCCATGGTGGACCTTCAGGATAGGATAGGATAGAATAGAATAGAATTGAATTGATTGGGAATAGAATAGAATT